CATTCCTAAACAGCGAGTCAAGAATCGATAGCCCAGGAGAGGTAAACATATCAGTTCACAGCGATTGACTATTCGCGTTCTATGTTCAAGAATTTAAAGAGTTTAGTCACGAAAGTCAAGTTTTCTTCCATGCCTTCTTTTCTGTTACTCCTTTTCACTCCAACGAGGGCCAGCCACGCAGGCAGGCTTTACATATACATTGGGTGCGTGAATGCACTTATTCGCAGTGCGTTAGGAAAAAATCGTAAATTGTAATATCATGAACATTGTTTTTAATTAATAAACTGTGGCTGTGTATATAGCAATTACGGCGTAGAAAGCATTGGAGGTTTTCTTAAATTATAAGGAGGTTCGAGGGGCAAATCACTCGAAAAAAGTGTACTGGACTTTCGGACTTTCAGAAGTCCGGGAATTTTTTTTGTCGGACTTGTGTAACTTTCTCTGTGACATTTTTGCAGACAGTAAAACGATATTATCTCATGAAAATAATACACTTACCAGAGCAGTCGCAAGAAATCATACTCGAATTCATATTTCCGATCACGCTGCATTCCGCTCGCAGCTTCGCGGAAGCTAACCAGCGGTACCAGCCTTCGGGCATTGAACTATAAGTAAACTGGAAGGCTAACTCCTATGTTTGGGTGAAGCCAAATTTCGGGCGCTCCAGTATAGCCTGTTCGTTCACGTATTTTTACTAATTTAATCCTTAATTTTAACTTATTAAAGTACGTTTCTGGATGTTTGGACTCCATTAACAACTGTATCTAAGATTATTCTACATAAATTGTATAAAATTGTCTCTGAACTCTTTCTGGAAAGTCTAAAAACTATACATTTTCGCTCGTTTTTTTGCCGAGTTTCGTTTTGCTCGTGCCATATTTCGGCAGTTAAACAATCAAGTTGCTTATTTTATGTGCCTTAGATAAAAGTTGTGTTGTCCGGCTAAGTGTGCTCTAGGATAAATATAAATGCCTTGCAAGAAGTAAAAATGAGAAAATATTAACGATTTTTAAGCTGTATTTTTCGCATCCATTTTGTAAAAAAGGACTTTGGCTACCTGCAGAAAACACTCATAGCCGGCTTCAAAGATGGCGGCGAACTTATCGTTCCTGTTTACTTATAGTCAAAATAATCAACTGTGGTTACCGCCTGAAGTATATGCAGTATTTATAACACCAGAGTGACTTTTGGCATCGCTTTTAGCGAAATTTTTATTTATTCGACATATATTTCAAATTACAAGAAGATTTTATGCGATTTTTACGGATTTTAAAGAATTTTCAAAGGTTTTCAAGGATTTACATGGACTTTACCGATTTAGGGATTTTGCGGACTTTTAAAAATCCCTCTGGACTTTCCGGACTTTTTACGGACTTTTTGAGGAAGTGTACGCAGTACGAGACTTTTCGAGTGATTTGCCCCTCGAGGGGGTTTTCTTAAATAATTAAAGTATAAATTCATACAAACACAGAGTAAGCAAGTGAGTAAGTATACTGCGCTATAATCGTGAACAGTTTGGAAGCTCATACTCGCGCATGCATATAACGTCGAAAACCGTCCATCACAAAATGGAGGATGAAGGGTATATGAGACATAGCGAAGTGCAAAGAAAGTGGTGTAAATAGCCGAACGGAATTAGTATCCTCGCCCCGGGCGTACGCTTGCAACGGCACTTTGTGCCATTGGCTCAGGTATAATGTAGCCTGATTGATTTTACTTTATTGTTTAGTTTGAACTGATATGCGACAAAAGTTTTCTGCAGAATGTTTCTTCGTCTCTATTTTGGCTTGGATGGTTGATGGGAAACTTGATATTTGGTCATATAGCTGATAAGATGGGAAGAAGGAAAACAATTTTTCTTGCCGCGTCCTTCACTGCCGTCATCTCCTGGGTGATAGTTTGGCCGAGATATTTGTCCGTGTACATCATTTGTCGCATTCTGACTGGGGTGAGCTGCGGTAAGTAAAGAAAAATATTTACGCAGCAGCACAATCCAGTAGCGGGCGTCGTTAGCGCAGTTATCAGAGCTGACGTCAGAGCCCAGCTCCGTTAATTAACGACTGAGTGCCGATCGTTGTTTTGATCCAGTCTCAAGAAATTGCTATGAAAAGAGTCAGTGAACGCTTTGCCGAGTACTGCAACTTCCACTGGCATGCAGTGAATGTTCAAAGGTTCACAAGGTGCATGGGCTGGGGTGTGCTGAAGAAGATGCAATGACCTGACCAGTATTAGCTGCAGTTGAATAGATATTGTGTTTAAATAGCGCTGTCGAGGTCCGCTGTTAATCATGTTTTCTTTCCACCGTGTATAAAACCTATCTGGGGGGGGGGGGGGG